TTTGGTAAAGATAAAACTGTAAAACTCAATTAATTAGACAGGCTTTTTGATTAATAAAAATAGATGTAAGCAATAAATCATATGGTTTTATTGAACTGGCCTGATGATTGTTTTTACACATTGCTGTGCAGAACTGCATCGCATATAATTATTTAATTAAATTGTAGCGTTTGTGAATTATTTAACAGTTATGCTTAATTATGATTTTTAAATAGGTTTAATATAACATGCAGCCTTGGGAAACAGTCTAATAATGTGTTTTATGGACTCTCGTTCTTGAAATGCGCCACTTCCGGTATTCCGGTATATACTTCCGGTATTTTGCCGGTTAGTTGACGCGAGCAAAATGAAGTCGAGGATTTTTAAAAAATCGAATAGTCGAATAAAATCAACGAATCGCGACAGCCCTACTAATGTCTTAATCGTCCCATATTCTTTTGGATTTTGCATCATGACCCAGACACATTATTGACAGGTTTCATGAGCTTCATCCCAGAAGGCTCTTATGTATTTAAGAAATATAATTCGAAATTGTACAAAATATAATATCATATTACTTTATTTATATTTTGGTGTAAAACATGAGCCAAGATTAGTTCCTGACAGGTGAGATTCATTCGCCCAGTCTGTCCAGCTCAGCTCTTGTTTTGCTGTGTTATCCATGTGTTCCCAGTGGGAACCGGACCCTGCGCACATGCGGTCTGTCGAGTCCGAGTCCATGCGCCGCTGGCATCTGCCGTCTCATGTGACCCAGTGTACGGCTCCTGCACCGGCCGCAGCGTGAAGCTTCATCTGATATTATGTAACAGTTAATGGCTGTGTTTATTTTAGCCAGTGAGTGTCACAGATGTCACGGCCTCGCTCTTTAATGACGTTCCCGCTGACATTCACGGCCCTGATATGCATCCCTGCAGATTACTCAGCAAAACAGCCTTAATATCTCAGGAATACTGCAGTTCAGTACTTTACTTAGACCTAAAAATGCATACAGCATTTTCATCTCATTTAAATCTAATTTAAATATGAAAATAATTTATGAAGTACTGCATAACTGCTATTCCCCGAAAAGTGACGATGCATTTGTTTTGGTTAAAGTATCAACTTTTTCCTTCAGACATTTCTCCTAAAGTTCACCTAAATGTAGATCCAAATGAATCAATAGTCGTCCAGTAATCTGTGGATCATCTCAGATCATTGCTTGAGATTTCTGTGCTCAGAAGATTCAAAGTCTGCAATCAGAAGTCGGTTTGAGATCTCTTCTGAAATGCATGAGATTACTTGGGTTTTCTACAATAACAATAAGTCATCTTTATGAAGGCAACATCAATTCACACGCTTCACCTTTAAGAGTTTAGGACGTGCATGAAAACGTCACTGTCCTGATAGATGAGCTGCAGCATGGCTCCGTATAACATTATGACTCTAATCCAGTCAGGATTTGTGTCGGATCACTTCAGTTTGATGTTTATTCCTGTGTAAATCCCACCCACTGAAGTCCTGGTGAACTCTAATGGCAAATCTCTGCTGTTTTACAAGTCATATTAGCATAAGATGATCATTTCCAGTTAGAGTATTAAGATCTGTGTTTGCGGAGTTAACCCTCGAGACTGGAGCATTGATATTAATGATGCGTTTTATTTTCTACCCCATAAGAGTTTTTAGGAAGCGCCTGGTTATTGAAATCTCAGTTTGTTTATTTAGGAGAAATGGCCATTCATAAATGTGGGCCTCTGAGGGTTTTTAAGTGCAAAATGTTCAGTTTCCTCTGAACAAGCAGTCCAAATGTGAGTGTGAGTGTCGCATGTTTTTGTTGCATGTGCTCAGTTTCTGGTGTTTAAGGAACATTGATTCTCTGTCAATCTCTGAAGCGCAGAGGAAAGCAGCAGTGATGCACAGATGACCACAGTTCATGTTAGAGATCTCACATTCGTTTGATTGATTGGAGAGCCTGTGCTGTTCAATTTCAAACTCTGAGTCAGAAAATGCGCTCTTGTGCTTATGATTTACGATGCAGCAGGAAACCGACCGCAGGAGACTTTTAACTTGGTACAGCATCTTAAAACAAGCATGGCATGAAGTGCAACCCAACAGCCGAAGTCCGTCTGTTTGTGCATGTAAACCAGCAATTAAACCCCGATTTGATATTTTCTAAAAAATGTGTGGTTCTTGCTAGATTTTGGGGTGTTATGTGGTTGTTAGGGTGTTGTAATGTGGTTGTTAATGTGTTGTGGGTGGTTGCCAGGGTGTTGTGTGGTTGCTAGGGTGTTGCGGGTGGTTGCTAGGGTGTTATGTGGTTGTTGGGGTGCTGTGGGTGGTTGCCAGGGTGTTATGTGGTTGTTGGGGTGCTGTGGGTGGTTGCCATGGTGTTATGTGGTTGTTAGGGTGTTGTGGTTGGTTGCCAGGGTGTTGTGGCTGGTTGCCAGGGTATTGTAATGTGGTCATTAGGGTGTTGTGGCTGGTTGCCAGGGTGTTATGTGGTTGGTTACCAGAATGTTATGTGATTGTTAGGGCGTTGTGAATGGTTGCCAGGGTATTGTAATGTGGTCATTAGGGTGTTGTAGCTGGTTGCCAGGGTGTTATGTGGTTGTTGGGGTGCTGTAGGTGGTTGCCATGGTGTTATGTGGTGGTTAGGGTGTTGTGAATAGTTGTAATGTGGTTGTTAGGGTTCTGTGGGTGGTTGCCAGGGCGTTAAGTGGTTAATAGGGTTCTGTGGGTGGTTGCCAGGGTGTTGTGTGGTTGTTAGGGTGTTGTGGGTGGTTGCCAGGGTGTTTTGTGGGTGATAGGGTATTGTGGGTGGTTGCCTGGGTGTTGTGTGGTTGTTAGGGTATTGGGGGTGGTTGCCAGGGTGTTTTGTGGGTGATACGGTATTGTGGGTGGTTACCAGGGTGTTGTGTGGTTGTTAGGTTGTTGTGGGTGGTTGCCAGGGTGTTTTGTGGGCGATAGGGTATTGTGGAGGGTTGCCAGGGTGTTGTGTGGTTGTTAGGGTGTTGTGGGTGGTTGCCAGGGTGTTTTGTGGGTGATAGGGTATTGTGGGTGGTTGCCTGGGTGTTGTGTGGTTGTTAGGGTATTGGGGGTGGTTGCCAGGGTGTTTTGTGGGTGATACGGTATTGTGGGTGGTTACCAGGGTGTTGTGTGGTTGTTAGGTTGTTGTGGGTGGTTGCCAGGGTGTTTTGTGGGCGATAGGGTATTGTGGAGGGTTGCCAGGGTGTTGTGTGGTTGTTAGGGTGTTGTGGGTGGTTGCCAGGGTGTTTTGTGGTTGTTAGGGTATTGTGGGTGGTTGCCAGGGTGTTGTGTGGTTATTAGGGTGTTGTGGGTGGTTGCCAGGGTGTTTTGTGGGCGATAGGGTATTGTGGGTGGTTGTCAGGGTGTTGTGTGGTTGTTAGGATATTGTGGGTGGTTGCCAGTATGTTGTGTGGTTGTTAGGGTTTTGTGGGTGGTTGCACTTGCCAGGGTGTTGTGTGGTTTTTAGGGTATTGTGGGTGGTTGCCAGGGTGTTGTTTTCTGGTTGTTTGGGTGCTGATGTGGGTTGCTAGGGTGTTGTTATGTGGTCGTTAGGGTGTTGTGTGGTTGTTAGGGTGCTGTGGGTGGTTCGTGGTTGCCATGCAAAATTGGCGCTGTTCCTTCAGGAAATGCAGATCTAGTTTCCATTCACATAAAGCACAGTCACTTGTCTCATGAATATTCAGCAGTGTGAATGACAGGCTCCTCCCACCGCAGGGTCGTCAGTGTTGGTGTAAATCCTCATATGATCCGTGTGAAGGGCCGCAGGTGTCGGTTCACCTCACTCTGCCAACAAACCCTGGCCGTTGACTTGCTGAACTCAAGATATTAGCTCTTTGCCATTTTTCAGCATGAAATCAAACTTGATCTTATATACTTGATTATGTTCCAGATCTTAACTCATCAGTGCATGTTACAGAAAACAATTTTGTCTTGATGATAATATCGATATAATCACCTCTGAAACTATCTTTTTTTTCTTTTTTTTCAACCACCTTCATACAGACACTTTTCACCATCCAATTAATTCACTGTGGATAAAGCTGTTTTTCTTCTACAGTCTTTTTCTCCTTGAATATCTCGTTGCATGCTGAAATGCATGAGATTTTGAGTTGAACTCTGTTCTTCTCGCATGTAAACAGCAGGAATCAGTCAGAGAAGCTGCAAAACAGATCTTCAGCGCCATCTTCTGCTCATTCATAAAAGATACTTGTGCTTCCACAGGTTGGGCCTCATTTATGAAACACAAGTTTAGTTCTGTGTAAATAGTGTGTTTATATCATTTATTTCCTTAATTCATATTTTGGGTTTTATGAATGATTTACACAGAAATTTCATGAATGAGGCCCGTGCTGCGTTTATCAAGTGCGACTTGAATTTTATTTACAGGTTCAGTTCAGGTCTCTATGCATTTATTTATTCTTTCATTTATTCATTCATTCATTCTAGCTCTACTTAAGCACTAAAATTTTTTATCAGATAGCACTATAAAATAATTTTTCCAGTTGTCACAATTGACTTGTGTCTTTTTAGGGTGAATCTCATCAAAACATGTCAAAATAATAAAATATATTTTGAATAAAGAAAATAAAGTTTGTTTTGAGGAAAATTAATATAATGCAATTATTTTTATTAAAATCATAATTTTAATGGCAGTACAACATATACTACCATGATGAGTAAATACATTGCGATTTAAATAATAAATAATATATACAATTTAAATAATTAATTAATGATATTCATTGCACTGCTCTTAATTTATGCTGATGTAAATTTTTAAAAATCATTCTATTCCAGTAATTAAAATAATCACTGAGAATAATAAAGAAAGGAAAACTCAAAAGTAAAAATTTCATTTAAATCAGCATAAATTTAATGGCAGTGCAACAAATACTACCATGATGAATACATAATAAGTTGTCTTTATTTCCATATATAAATATACATTTTTCATCAGCTACCGCAATAAAATGATTTTTTTTTTGTTATTATTATTCCCTTTTCCAGTTGTCACATATGACTGAAAAAGTCATGGAAGTTCTTTGACAATCCTGATTCATGAATTACCCACAGCCTCTCCAGATTTTGTTTCCCCACACAGAATCTATGGCTGATTTTGGTTTGTTCTTCGTTGTGTTTATTCAGAGGACGTCCTGGCGAAGGACGCAGGAGAATGTGCAATATGTCTGGAGGAGTTGGTGCAGGGAGACACCATCGCACGCCTGCCCTGCCTCTGCATCTATCACAAAGGGTACAGCTGCTAACGTGCATGAGTGTGTGTGTGAGTGTGTGTGTGTGTGAGTGTGAGTGTGAGTGTGAGTGTGATATACGGTCTGTACAGTATAAAAACCATTACGCCTATGGCATGTCCCCACTTTTCACAAAAACAAACGTGTGAGTGTGTGAGAGAGTGAGTGTGTGTGTGTGTGTGTGTGTGTGTGTGTGTGTGTGTGTGAGTGAGTCTCACTTACAGTAACTCTGCTTCTCTTCCAGCTGTATTGACGAGTGGTTTGAAGTGAACCGATCGTGTCCTGAACATCCTTCAGATTAACAGCGCCTCTCTCACCTTTGCACAGGTAACACACGGTAATGCATGTGCATTTAAATCAAAATTGACACCGTTTTAAAATAAAAGTCCTCATGATTGTTTGTGATTCATCAGCACGTTACATAACATGTTATTATAATGTCACAGGTTTAATGCATTGCAGATGCATATTGCATGAGTCATTTTATATCACGGGATTATTACATTTCATGATATTACACTATTTTTGCAACAAAAATGCTATTATACTTTAACGTGAAAGGTGCTTCACCTGTTTTTAATTGTATCTTGATGATTATTCTTTAATGAATGTGCAAAGTCAGTATAAACAGCTTCACATTATGAAAAAACTAAGTCTCTAGCTGAAACAGTGTCATGTTATCTTACAGCATGCACATATTATTTTAAGGCAAGACACTGCAGTTGAATAGGGTAAAAAAAAAAGAACTAATAGATATCAGATATCGGATACTTCCCCAGCTGAATGATTGCATTACAAATCACAAGCATTTTTTGTATTACGCGTTTTCTGAAATGTTATATTTAAATATGCAAGCAATGCATTATCTATTTAAACATGCACTATTTTGCATATATTTCCAGAAGGTAAATCTGAACATTGGATAAAAATTCCAGTTTGATTTTGTTGACAACTTAAAGGGATTTCTCTTTTTATCACTCCATAAATAAAAAAAATACTGTCAACAGCCGGAAAACACATCTTCAACATGTTTTTATGAATATGTTGTTTAAGAACCAGGTGAATAATATATGAACAAACCCTTCAGAATATAGAGAGGAATAAAACTGCAAAGTTTGCTGTATGTAAGTGCTGCTGAAGTGGAGAAAGAAACTCATTTTGAGAAAACAGACTTTAAAGATATGAATTGTGATGGAAATCTACAGACGCAAATAGATCAAATGTAATCAAATAAATGTGTATTTTAGATGTTTTCTTTCCACTAAGTCTGAAACAACACATTATGGAAAGCCAAATGGCTCAAAATCTCAAAACTGACCAGTGCATGAAAATCAGTGTTTCTGCCTGTAGAGTCTGGCTTTAAATCATGCTAATGCTCTTTAATCGCTGCGTTGTGTTTCATGTCTCCAGCCTCCTGGTCGTGAGAAGCGCCACTATGTGAATTCTCTTCCTCCTCATAGACACTGTGATTTTGGTCTCGGGACGGCCTGATCGCCGAACGCCCCTCACTTCTCCCTCCCTAGTCGCCATATAAACCCTAGTGTGCCAAAACTCATTCAGGGAAACTCTTTCCACATCACAGTCCAGCTGAAACCCCAGCGGCGGTCGAGAGCTTCTACTCCAGCGCACCATTGTCCAATCAGGATCTAGCAGAAGTTGATTTCATTGGCTGTTTGTTGACGTCTCTGATTGGCCGGACTCAGGGTCAGCTGACTGTGTGGATGATTATCGGATGACCGGAGTCGATTGTTCTCTGTTAAGTGGGACTGTGTCTCTCAGTGCCTTAATTTTCAGATCCCAAGAGCCGAAGCGACGGCTGCGTTTGGGATGTTCTTCAGAGGAAGGGCTCGAAGGACTCGGAGAAAGACGCCTGGATGTGACGGGACGTGAGCCCTGATTCGGGTCGGCCCTGAGCCATACTGAGCCATTATTTCTCTCTCTCTCGCTTCCCGGATGGTGAAATGTCCCGTGCATCTCGAGTCTCGGATCAAGATTCACTGTAGCCTGTCACATGACGTCTGCACCATTTTTGCAAGTGCATCACGTTTTGTTTGTGTTGAGACAAATCTGGGCCTTAATTCAACACACCACTGACTTCTGTCGCTGTATGTAGAATGAATCTCATCAAAACATGTCAAAATCAGAAGAAAAAATACGAAATTATATTTTGCATGAAGAAAATGAAGATTAATATAATGAAATTATTTTATTAAAATCTGAATCATTTTAATGTCAGTACAACAAATACTACCATGATGAGTTAATACATTGCAATTTAAACAATATATAATATATACAATTTAAATGATAAATTAATGATATTCATTGTACTGCTCTTAATTTATGCTGATTTTAATTAAAATAATTGCATTATATTATTTTATATATATATATATATTTATATATATATATATTTGTATATGTATATTTAAATTTTAATAAATTGATATAAATTGAATGGCTGCACAACAAATACTATCATGGTGAATAAATACATTAGAATTTAAATAATAAATAAGAATTTAGATTTTTCACAATTATACACATTTTTACTTCTTCAGTATTATTATTTATGCACTGATTTATATTAATTGTACTGCTCTTAAATAAAATTATTATTATCAAAATAATGATTTTAAAAATCATTGTATTCCCCTAATAAAAATCATGACAGAATAATAAAACGGGGGGGGGGAAATTCCCATTTAAATCAGCATAAATTTAATGGCACTGCAAATACTACTGTGATGAATAAATACTTTAGAATTTAAATAATAACTAATAATTTAAATTCCTTTTTTAGGATTTAGATTTTTCACTTTACAACACATATTTTCAAGACAGTTATACACATTTTCCCCTTCAGTACAAGTATTTATACACCATGATTCATGATATGTTTTGTACTGCTTTTAATTTATACTGATTTTTAAAAAATCATTGTATTCCAGTTCTAAAAGTCATCACTGGGAATAATAAATAATAATAAAAAGATACGTTTTAAATCAGAATAATTTGAATGGCAGTACAACAATTTAAATAATGTCATAGTCAATACATCACTATTTATTGATATATAATTCGATTTATTGAAAATAAAATAAAAAATGAAGTTCCAGTTCTAAAAGTCATCACTGGGAATAATAAATAATAATAAAAAGAAGACTCAAAAGTTACGTTTTAAATCAGAATAATTTGAATGGCAGTACAACAATTTAAATAATGTCATAGTCAATACATCACTATTTATTGATATATAATTCGATTTATTGAAAATAAAATAAAAAATGAATAATGTTAATGTCTTAAGGGTCCTAAAATGCACTTCTTTTCCTTTACGTAAAATATAATTTTAATAATTTATTTTGATTTTGTGATGAAAAATGACATTTCTTGACGGGTTTTGTTAAGACTCACCCTTTATGTTTAAAAAAATTGTACATGCGTCAAGAGACAAACATATGATGTCATATGATCATCAATGAATCTCATATTTCACTTTAAATCAAGGAAATTAATTTTTAGGATTAATAAGATTTGTCACATACTTTCACGACAATTACACATAGTATTTATATATCATTGTAGTATCTGTTGTACTGCTCTTAATTTGTGCTGATTTAAATGTTAAAAATCCAGTAATAAACACTGAAAATAATATAAAACAAAAGGAATACTCAAAAAGCAAAATGTTCAGATGCATTACAGCAGTGATGCAAAATGTGCCTGATTGTTGTGAAAATAACGTCACAAATCTTAATACTCCTAAAAATACTATCATCTTCATGTAAAACAATTTCTTCTGCTATTTGTGATGAAATGTGATTCAGGCGAATAATTCTCTCTGTGTTTGTTTTATATTCACCAGGTTTATTTCTCTTATGATCTTTGGGATTTTACCACCAGTTTTTCAATCTGTTTAATGTAAATCATAGAGTCAGAACGGCGAGTGAGTGAGTGTGAGTGTGTGAGTGAGTGAGTGAGTGTGTGTGTGTGTGTGTGTGTGTGGAGTGAATGTTGAGTGAGTGAGTGTGTGTGTGAGTGAATGTTGAGTGTGTGAGTGAGTGAGAGTGTGCGTGAGTGAGTGAGTGAATGTGTGTGAGTGAGTGAGTGTGTGTGTGTGTGAGTGTGTGAGTGAGTGAGTGAGTGTGTGTGTGAGTGAGTGAGTGAGTGAATGAATGAAT